CTCCTGCAGGAATTACACAAGAAAAGGTTAGCAATAGCCACTGTAGTGACATAGATCTAACTTCAAATAATAGACTGAAACATGAAAATGATTTGTAATAGATGAGATGGATGGGCATCAACGACATCACGACCATATTAAGATCAGTTACAGGGTCCATCATATCTCTTATCTAATGGATAAAACAAAATAGTTTTGCTGGAGTAAATAAAGCTGACCAATCACACATATAATGTAAAGGTCTCGGGATATATAGCCTTACTCCATGCCACCTATAAGACTTGATAATACAAGTAAATTTACTCAGCACTTAATGGGCTTTGTCTATTGGGTCCTTCTATCTTACATCAGAGCCATAGATAGTTTCTGATACTTCACATTCAGTTATTCAACTGGGTATACCAAAAGGAAATGCATCCATAAAATACTGTGATTAAAAACCCAACTTCGGTGATTTGTGCTGATTCCTGCATAATAGCTGCCACAAAGACTATCAATGTGTTTTAAACAAAAGTAACTTACTAATAATTCAGAGCTTAGAAATATACCATTTTTCAATCCTTGACTGTCAATACATGAAATCAATTTAGCAACTGACACTTAGCAGCACAGCTGTTACATCAAATTTCAGTGTCACGGCAGTGACGATATCGATTCTCGTTGCAACGCCGAACTTGTGGGTAGATACCATTCTGGAAAAACATACTACCTCCACCTTCAACACTGAGGATAGAGGTAGAATGCTCTGCACAGCGTTATAATCTAGAAGACCAATATCAACAGTTGTTACCTGCTTTTACATTTCGTTCTTACCGCTACAAAATCAAATACAACTTGAATATCTCTCAAATGGGCAAATACTTCGAACCCATGTGCCACGAAATGGAACTGCCACAATTCGCTATACTTCAATGAGAATCGTGTTCACGATTATATTTCTTCATACAAGATACAATCCATGCAATGATTGCATTATAACGACTAATACTACATTGAAATTTTATAAAATTACCATATGATCTCTTGTCAGCCATGCAATTAAATCATCTACAGATATTTTGCGACAAATCAAGTCATTCAGCATTTGTTCCGCCATTCTAACATTCGACATTACCACAGCAAAAACTATATAAGCAGTGTAGCCACAACATACTGGGAAAAGCTGGATTAGTTTCGTTAGATTGAAAAATGTGTGGACGTTAAACGCATCAATTCTAGCGCACATATATTTTTAGCATTTTGCAAAAACTTTGATGCTGGAAGAGTAGTACACAGTTTGATTCTCTTCTATGGGAGGTTGAAATGGTAAAGGTTAAAGTACGACCGAGTTAGCTTTTTGGTTGGTTGGTGGCAGTGCCGAGGTAATGAGTGGGGTTAAATCCCATATTCCAGTATGCTAAATGTAAAACATATGTAAAAAGCGAGAGAGATGTAATGCCACCTGTAGCGAGTTCTGTTATGTGTAATAAAATCACTCCTAATACACTGGTTGATGCATACAATAAGTATTAGAAAGGTCAAAACGCAAGTGAATGCACTGACTTCTCATATTTCATACATTGCGGCACAAAGGTACTTGACGCCATTGACAAACCAATAACTCCCCCACCCCCCCGCCGATCGTAAATGTTCTCAGGACTACAGCTTAGTTACACACATTGAGCATCAAAAATAATTTTCATTATACTGTTATAATGCACTTACAGCTCTCACACAAAATAAAATAGTAAACAATTGGAAATAAAAACGATGACAAAAACAGTGAAGATGGCTGCCTTCTGGGTTGTAACACCACATAATCTGGTAGTTTACCAATGTTTCAATGGTACCTCCTGTCTCCATCATCAAGCCAATGAGTTGGGAAACTTCTACCAGACTAAACAACCTTAAAGTCTAGAGGAAAGCCCTCTTCATACTCAATGCTGTGAGAACTTCAAATTCTACAAATTAAAATAGTGTTTAATGAATGAAGTAAGACAGGATATTAAGCAGCATGAAGACTGGACTGAGGGAAATATAGGAAGACATATTGAAGTTGTATTTTGTTTCTTGTATGCAACACAAAATATGGATATGATTTAAAAAAATACATTATGCTTGTCTGTGGTATGCAGATACTGATGCTACAATATAATACAAGTCTGAATAACATACAAGGTGATCATACAAAATTTCTCATTGGTGCATTCATCACATAGTTCTGAAGGTGGAGGCAAGGGAGATGTTCTGCAATGAACAGTCTGGACTGATGGCAGTCTCCTGGAAGATGTTCCGTTCAGATTTCAGGTCTGAGTGCACCAGCGGGAAGTACTGCACACGCCCACTGGACCATGCCTACAATAACACACATCTCCTGTTGGTCTTAAAATCAACCATTAGTTGATAACTCCAACAGAGTGACATAAAACCGAAAACTGGGTCAGTTATGCTGTACCACATCAAAGGAAATGGTTCAAATCTTAGGTGGTTTCTTTTTAACTTTCGCCAGTAAAAGGACAGATGACACCACAAATGAGCATGTATGTTTCCTCTCTCATTTCTTTCAATTCAAAGACTGCTGTCTTCTGGGTTGTTGTGCCATGTAGTCCTTCCTGCCTCCGACATCAGGGTGATCGCCTTGATGATGGAGGCAGCAAGGACTTATGAAACATCTACCAGACTACACGGTGCAACAACCCAGAAGACAGCAATCTTCAGACTCACCATCATGAAAACCTCAAATCCTACATTCCTTCAATTCATTATTCATGACTATCTTCCCAATCATAATCTGAGCACGTGACAGGATTATGAAAACAAATTAATGTGATAGTGTATGATCTTTCTTATTGACTAATTAATTTCATTCAACACTAGAACTATAGTACTATCTGTATGTAGCATGGCTTGTATTTTTCATTGTTGTTCTGAGTGAAAAGGGATGGAAAAAGAATATGGGAGAAAGGATGAAAGAGACAAAGGCATGAAAAGGATAAAGAAAATAAAGATATGGGGTAAGGGATGAAGGTATAAAAATATCGCATATCACTGAATTTCAACAGGCCTTTTCCACCAGTTTTAAATATTAAACTGTTTAGGTATCATATGGAAAGATATGTTAAAATATTGAAGTTTCCAGAATTATAATTGGATATGTGGACTTTCCAAGCAAAGAGCTGATGTATGAAGTTAGTTTTGAAAAGGAACCTCTATGTATACGAACCCACGTTTGCATTCAGAATAAGTCCATGAGTTTAAATCTCAAATCAAATTTTAGAAAAGAACCCTCTTTGTATATGAACCATTGCTCTTTTGACCAGTACTTAAAATGAATGAAATGATGTATCTAAAAATTTGTATATCTAACAATATTTTCTTCAGAAAAACACCAATATATCTACTTGTAATATGAAGCCCAATGAACAAACCGATAAAAGTCTGCATATAAAGGTTAATATTAACCTACAAACAAGTCAATAATTCTTAGTGGACTAAATGTATGAATCATACTTACAATTGTGAGGCATGCCCCATCCCCAAAATTCTGCTGGAAGCTGATGCAGTTTGGAATTTCTCCCGACACACCTTGCACCAAGCAACTGCAACATCAAATAGTAACAAAATGCTCCATCAATTTGGTTTGAATATATTATCTAACTCCATGTGAAGTTGACAGTATGTTTAGCTAGACAAGGAATTCCCAACCTTATATGGAACTAAATGTTCATTCAGAGAAGCTTGCTACTGGCTCCTATTCTGAGCCAAGTGCAGTCCATACTCTTGCATCCCATATCCTTTTGTAATATCCACTTTAATATTATCCTCCTAAAGACACAGAGGTCTGAACTGGTGTGTCCCATTTAGAATTTACTTTATTCTGATTAAGTGAGGTTTGCATTAAGTAGGTACATAAATAGTCAAAACAAGAGATAGTGCTCCGTAGGAAATCCTCATGCTGTCCATGAAGTTCCTGTACATCAGGGGTCGTCAACCTGGTCCCTACCGCCCACTAGTGGGCGATTCAAGCTTTCATGGTGGGTGGTGGGGGTTTTTGTCCGTTGTTACAAATTTTGTTCTTCCTACATATATCGAATACATTGTTAATAACTTTGCAAGTTTGACTTTTTAAAATATGCTTTTGCAATATACTTTAGAATTCCATCTCTAAACTTTGAATATAGATAATAAATTCACTGGACACTTCTCAAAGTATTACTCGCGGACGAGGGAGCAATGAATGAGCTCCATAGCCAAAGACACGAGTTTAGTGCGCATAACGAGGGCGGGGTTTACCACCGGCCATCACTCAGTCTTCGAGCTGTACCTTTTTCATGGTGGTAGGCAGTATGTGCGGCACAGGTGGGCGGTAAGGAAATTTTACCATCAACAAAGATACAAAAGTGGGCGGTAGGTATAAAAAGGTTGACGACCCCTGCTATACATGGTGAAAGTCAGTGTGACGCACGGTTACAGCAGTGCTACAAAAATAAGATGATGAAACAATTAATTTTGAACAGTATGTGAAATTAATTCTGACATCCTTTTGTGATCAAACTTCCTGAAGTAAAGAGGAAATGTTCCACAAAATAACACAGCACATGACATGGCTGATATAAAAAGTTCTCTGTTATGATGCTAGATATCAAAATGTTCTGTACAAAGACCCAAATGGCAATTTGCAATGAGGTTATTTCATTTCGCAATTCGATAGATACAACATGGAATAGAACAGTTGTGTGTGATAAATACTGAAATTCAACAAGTATACATAAAAGTAAACAATTTCAAAAACTAAACTGGCAATGTGATGCACAGCGTGAAGTAAAAACAATACAGTACCTAGGCAGGGCAAGAAGGGCTGAGGACACTGATAGGAGAAAGGGAAAACAGCAGACAGCAGAGACGAAGATAAAGGTATCAAAGGGACAAAGAGAAGAAAAAAAAAGAAGT